TACTTGTAATTAAAAAATAATAATTAATAAAGATAACATGAAAATGAAAAATGTGTTCTATGCCCTTGGTGAAATAAACATCAACACCATTCCTTTTTTTCTCTCAATTGGAAATGTCTTCAACATGAGAAATTGTTTCTCATTTTCTATAAACCAAGTGCATGCCTTCAATTGTTCATCTGGACTAAGTTCTGGAATTGCATTAACTTCATTATATACTTCTAATGGATCAAGCTTTTGTGTGGTAGCATTGATAAGTTGTTCGAACGATGAAGCCATTTTAGCCACTGTATTCTCAAAAAATATCGGAGGGATTCACCACATAAATCCACTATATCATCCCAATTTGCAATTACTTTATATCAAAAAGTTCTAGCATCTTCATGAGACTATCAAGAAAAAAAAAAAAAAAGAGGATAAATAACTCTAAATTTACGACAAAAAATATTCTAGTCATGCAAAAAGGTGTAATTACATTGTAAATTATGTTCACATACTCATTCCAAACATTCTCTTCATCTATAGTGATCATCTTTTTTGTTGCATCCCAACTGAATCCACTCTGACTTAATATGTCACTGACTACAGCATAAAACCTTTTCCATGTCTTGACACGATTTTTAATGTTATCAGCACTTACTTCAATATTATATTGGGCAGACAATATGGCTGCAGCAGTGTTATAAGCAACTGATTTCCAACCACCATCTCCTTTATAACCCATCTAGCGTTCTTCTCTAAGTATCTCTGCTAATGAACGATCCATTTGTATGTTCCAACGTAAATAACATTTGTCATCTCCTTCATGTTCATTACCTTGCTTCTCTTTCCTTTTCCTTTGCTTTAGTTTGGTTGCTCTCTCTGCCATCTTATGTAATTAAAATAATTTCAACAACATTAATACACAACATTAACAAATTCATTCAAATTGCTAAAAATGTTAAAAATTCAATACATGAAGTAAACACTTATTCAAATTAAAACATCATAAGTTCACGAAAAGTTCAAATTGAAAAATCATGAAATTGTTGTGCCTCTTGCTTGATAATCATGAAACATCTACAATGCTAACGTGTCACGGAAAGTAGTCCACTGATCAGTAACTTGAACACTTGTAATCCTATTTGCATTACCCTCTAATGTAGAATGATTTGATATCTCATGATCCACATAAGCTAAAAACCTCAAATCTTGATCTTGTAACACAAGGTCATTATGTTGCTCGAGTCGAATAAAGTTATGCAACACAAAGCATGCATTTATAATCCTAATTTGGGTTTTGATGTCGAAAAATGAAGGGGTACGCAGTATACTCCATCGCTTTTTTAACAACCCAAATGACCTTTCAATTACATTCCTTGCAATTATAATCCCAATTTGGGTTTTGATGTCGATAAATGAAGGGGTATGCAGTATACTCCATCGCTTTTTTAAAAACCAAATGACCTCCATTCATTTAAGTGATATCTAGTCAAAAAACCTTGTCCATTAGCATATCTCGCATCCACAAGATAATACTTATCTACAATACAAAAAGTTTTAAAGAATAATTAGTTATTTATATCTAAGTTTGTGCTTAATTAACAACGAGTATCATAAATTACCACTTAGGACTTGAAATGGATTATCCATGGCTAAAACATCTCGCAAAACATGGGCATAAGAAGCATAACCCTTCCATCCATATATTACATAGATGAATTTTAGATCAGGATCACAAACTCCTAAAACATTGGTGGAAATATCTCTCTTTCTATTTCGATATCTTGGTCTCTCCTCAGCAGACACTGTTACTGGAATGTGAATTCCATCTAGTGCTCCTATACAATTCAAATGAAACGAAAACAAAAAACAAAAAAACAAATACTCAATGTAATTACAAGAACATACTTTTCTTTAGTTATAGAATTACCTCAAACCACTTCCACTTGTCTCTTTCTGAACCACCTATAGCACATGGATGAAGTTTCAAGTAATCTTGACTTATTCTCATCATTGGATGCAACACACTATTAAATAGTCGACTAATTGTTTCTTTAGAGCGATAATAGTCAAAACCTATGGCCTTAAACTTCAAGTTGTGTGCCAGTATATTTAAGAAAATAGCCACAGACTCTTCAATTGAAACATTTCTTGTTAGAGTTAATCCATCCTTTCCATGCAAAATAGTGCATAAACTCTTAAATGCATTCTTGCTAACTCGTAATTGTTCAATACAGTCAACCTCCCTCCCATTATACAGACGATTCAAGTAACATCGTCTTTCTTGATCCCAATCACGTGAAGGCTCTTTGACAAGATAAGTTTCATTATACCATGCTACAACTATAGCAATGACAGATGTAATGGTACCAAGAATAATTGACATTTTGTCCCTATTTTCTTCTTCATCACTATCACGCTTGCGACTTAAACGTGTAAAAAAGTTATCTACATCATCACTAGCCATACCTGTTTATATTTCCAAATATCTTATTATGTAGTCATATCAAACACAAACAAAAATTTCATCGTAGAAGTAATTAGTCATACTTGAGATATCAGTAGAATGAATTTAAAGAAAACAAGAAAGATAAATATGATTGGTGAGGGCTTCTACATATAACAGAAACTACAAGGTAGTATAATCCCTCAACCATAACAAACTCTAACGAATTTAGCTTAACCCGGAAAGCTCCTTCACACCCCATCACCTCTCTCCCAAATCAATTTTAGCTAAGGCGGAAATCTTCTCCAAGATGAGATGGAGCAGTACCTTAGCTAAAATTGATTCAAACAGACATGAATCTTAGCTCAAACTAATAATCAAACAGACATGGTTGTCTTGGAAACATGATTCAAACTAAAATTGAGCTAAGGTACTTAAACAGACATGAATCAATTTTAAACAGACATGAATCTTGGAGAAGATTCACATTTAGAGGATAATAAAGGTGACTTTGAAGAAACATACATGAAAACCAAGATTCAAACTTGAAGAAAATGAAAATGGAAAGGAGGTATTATTATGTCTATGAAAACAGAGCAAACCATGTCTGGTTGTAACAAATTGGCTACCCAACAAAAACAAACCAAAGAGCATTGGAAGACCCGTGGAAAAATAAAGATGAATACTGCTTTGCAATGACAAAGCTACATTGACCATGTTTAAAAGCAGATAAAACTAGTGAAGCTTAATATTTTGTCTTATGCAATAAAATCCCATTTTGCAATAATACATACCTTTTTCCACTGGTTTGACAAACCACATAAACAAATTCTTAAACCCAAAACTTAGTCAAACAAACAAAAGAAGAGACCATAACAGAAACTACAAGAAATTATGCAGACTACAAGAAACAATAATTTCACAACAATAATCTATCCTTTATTGGAACAACACAGATTGAAAAGCAAGGATAAGTTGAGAGACTATACCTTTATTGGAGCAAACATAGTCTTAGATTGGAAGATGATAGATGGCAAAATCTGAAAACCACTCACTCTGTATCAGATAAAAAAAGATGATTAACTTCTACTTCTATTTTTTTGGGTCGAAAAGAAACCAGAAGAGAGAGAATACAAACAGAGCCCAATCCAACCCATTAGATAAAGAATCAGATAACCAAAACAAAGTAGA